AGGGGAGCTGGGATTCAGACACTGGCAGTTGGCCTCTTCATCATTCTACTTTAGTACCATAGTTACTGGTAACCTGCAATGTTTTCAGGAAAAGCAACCACTTAAATCATAGTGACTAAATCCCATATATGCAGGAAGGGAAGTAGCAGGAGATGGAGCCCAAATCAGGCTAAGGTCAAATATAGAAAAGCCTCGAGGCTGTGCCAGGGTTTGGATTTAGTGCACTGGGCACTGGGAAGCTGGTAGCAATATTTCAGCGGGAATGGCAGGTGCTTCAGCACTTGGAGCACAACAAGCTGGCCTCTGGGTTGAGCAGAGGCCAGGAGACATACAGGGAGTTGGGGTGGGGTGAGCCAGACTGGGGCAGTGCATGGTGTGGTGTGATGGAGTTGGGTGGGTGTGAAAACAGATGAAGATTGGCACTTGACTGTCCCTAAATGGAGAGGAGGGAGTCCATAGGGACCCTGGGGGTTCTGGTCTAGTGGGCGGTGGTGCTGTTGGTGAGACTGACCAGGGGAGAAGCATGGATGACAAGTGTGGTTCTAAATGGGTTGGCACACATCCAGGCCAGAAACCCTTGCAGCCGAGCATGAAGCCTGGCATCTAGAAGGTGCCCAGCAAACACTTACATAAGTGAGCCTCACTGCCACTCTGTGCCTCCCTGTGCCATGGGCTCTCCTCTCACTGAAGGCAGAGAACTCCTGCCGGGGGGTGGAGATCCTCCCTTATTGGGACCCCCACAGCCCTGGTCTCTGCTCCACCCCACCAATCCTTCCCCCAGATCCAAGCACAGAAACACTTCAGTAACTTTAACAACAACAACAACAAAAAAAACCCTGCAATTACTTTATACTTTCTGCCTGCTTTCCTTCCAGTCTGCTGCCCGATGTCTGCCAGGACCCAGGCACGTGAGACTGCTTAGGCTAATCTTTCTCCCCATGATGACACGAGCAGCTTTTTGGCAATGTTTCTCTTCTATAATGGGAAGTTGCTAAAATTGTACAGCATGGGTGACCAGCCCTGCCCTTCCTGGCCTGCCTGTGTCCTTGTTGGTAAGAAGGCCAGCTTCACCCTCTGCAGGGTTTTCTGGCAAATCAGCTGCAGGCTATGGTTTTGAAAAAATGTGGTTAATATTCCACAGAAAACCAACCTAGTTTTTGTAAAGAGCTAAATACTGTTGAATCACCTCTATGCAAATAGCTGTTGAAATAGCTCTTTTAGGGGTCAGATCTCTTCTGCCCCACTCAACCTTCCTCTCAGTTCCCCTTCCACTGCTCTTTCTGCTTTCACGTGGCTTGAGTGAAAACAATGAGCCACTGGTCCAGAAGCATCTTGCTGGAGTACCTTGGCAGAAGGCTGTCCCTCTGGTAGTAATGGGGATGTTTTACCCACGCAAAAGGGACCTCAGAGATCCTCTTGTTCAGCACTGCCATTTTACTGATGAAACTGAGACTTAGCGAGGCGAAGTGTCTGGCACACAGTTACATGGTTAGTGAGGGGCACAGCCAGGGCTGGAACCCAGGCCTGCTGACTTCTGCCCTCCTCAGACACCCTCTAACGACATTTAGCAGCTCTTACTTGTTCTGTTCAGAGGAAAGACTCTTTTCTAAAGGGTTGACCAAGTCTCGAGCAGCAGACTCTCTGAGGGACTTGAACCTCTCTTGCTCCTGATGGTAAATCCCACTCAGTGTCCCCTGCTAATGCTAACTTCTCCACCAATGCGACAACCCAGGGGAGGGGAGGGGTCCCCATTGACTCAGACTCACCTCCTGATTTTTTCTGGATATCAGAACAGGTGCATTTTCTAGACCTTAGTCAGCGCAGTGTATCCTTCCAGATCCCTCCCAGACCCTTCCCTGTGGCCAGGGACCCTACTGACCCACACACTCTGCCTGTTTGCAAGCATCCAGCCATTTCTGGGACTGGCAAGTGATCTGGAAGAGAGCAGCCTGCCCTTCGTGGGACCAGCACTGCTCCTCTCCTGGGGCTGCATTACTAAGAGCTCCCCGCCCCATTCCTTCCTGGAGAGCCACTTTTTTTTGTATTTCTTGCATAATCTGATTTTTATTCCTTTGGACTGAAAATTCTACTCCTCATTACCTCACCTTCTACCCCAAAGCTCCTACCAAAGCAAATTCCCTAACACAGACAGGGAACAGGATGGAGTTCAAATCCTGAACAAATGTCAAGAGTGCTCCCAGCAGCTGCCCCCAGGAGAAGGGGCCCAAAGCTTCCAGGAAGCAGTATAGTCTGTAAGATTCAGCACAGCACCACCTACTGGAGGAGAAGGGCAGGACACTTTGACTCTATATTAAATACGGCATCTGCGCAGTGGTTCTCAACTGGAACCAGCTGGGAACTTAAAGTATTCATGCCTGGGTCCCACTCCCAGAGATTCCAACTGGCCTGGGGTGTGGCTGGGTTTTTCAGAGCTCCCCAGGTGATTGTGCAGCCAGGCTGAGAAACACCACCTGAGAGGGGTAACGAGGTGGAGGAGGCCTCAGAAACCATGGACACGAGGGCTCACTGCACGGCACAAGATCAGGCTCCAGCCCCAGATCCTGAATGCATTCTTTTAAGTGGATGACCATTCTCAGTCGGTTCCATGTCTCCCAACAGATTAACCGTCCCCAATCCAGTCCAAACAGGCCCCTTGTGGTGACCCAGATTCAATGCTCACCTCTGGGGTTGGCAAGCCTAACGGATAATGGATAATGTGCAGATTTCTATAAAGAGACTACAACCATTAAAAATTAGATCAACTCCATGTGGTCACATTAACTATTTTGTGCTGCTCGGGATCTCGTCCTGATACTACCCTGTGCCTTTGATTAATAAAAAATGAGAAATAAATTATTAATGCACTGTTTTAGTAGGCGAAAACCTGCAAAACATAAGATCCATGGGGAAAAGTGATCGCAGGGGTCCTTGGTGGTTACAGGTTGGAAACCACTGATCTAATACAACCCCCTTATTTGAGAGATGAAGAAACGTAGGCCAGAGAGGTTACGGGACTGTCTTTAGGTCACACAGCTAGTTATGCAAACTTGGGACCCTCACCCAAGTCTTCCAGGCATGTTGTAGGGGGCAGAAAGAGTATGTGCAGGATATTTTGCTGGAAACTTTCACTTGACAAAATTCCATGGACCCAGACTCGGGAAACTCCTCACTGGTCCCGGAGGTTGTGTGGGTCAGAGAGCATATACTTACTCACAAAGAATTTAAAAACCAGTTGTAGTCTAGGGATTTCATTGAAGTTAAGAAACCATCAATTGTAAGATGCACCATTGTTTTCTGTACCACTAAGAAAAGTGCTGCCAAGTATAATTGTAAGATGCCATTAATCATAAGATGCATGTCAATTTTATAGATGTTAACATTGAGAAAAAAATGTTCACCAGAGAATTGAAGAAATGTCACACATTAGCCTCACCCATTCCATTCAGAGCGGCACAGCTGTGTGATGTTCTTCCGCCTGGTTCTCTTACCTGCTGGGGGTGCTAAGAAAAATAAAATGGCACTTCGAAGAGAGCGGATTATTTAAAAGGCAGAGATGAGTAGTGGAGCAGGCCCAGCCCAGTCTGTAGGATCCCAGGACAAAGTCCTGGACCAGCCCTCAGAAGTCCTAGGTTTGTATCTCAGTTCTGAAATTTCCCAATGTGTCATCTTGAACGTGTTCTTATTCTCTCCAAGCCTCAATGTCTTCATCTGCAAAACAGAGATAATATGTGCCCTCCCCTCTGCCCTGTCCTCACAGAAGTATTGCGAAGCTCAGAAAAGAAAATAGTGAATTGAGTAATTAGGTGCTTAGTGCTTATTAATTGCCAAGAACCATCTTTCATTTGCTCAGCTGATGCCTGTGACTGCTGAGAGCAGAGAATTGTGAGATGACAAGGTGGGTCACACAGAGAGTCATTCTGGGGCCGATGGGAACACTTTGCAGGGACCAGCATATGTGGACCGAGCCCAATGGGGCTTCTCTTGCTTTGGCCACATTCAGGACCCCTTGAGGGAGCATTCTTCTCCCATCTGAGGAAAAGAACTCATCCTTAAATGGGGCAAGGAAACTGGGGGCAAGTCAAGTCAGAAGTCTACTTTCCCGTGAACAGATGGCAGAAGTGTTTAGTGATCTCAGGGCTGCTGCTCCCCACCCAAAACCTGGACAGACACCCTAATACTCCCCATCTGGCACTTTGAACTCACATGCACACACCCTTCTACTGAACAGTCATGGAAAAGGTTATTTGGTCTCACTGCAGAACCAGGCAAGGAGCCACCCCAGCTCTCTTTCCAGGTACCCTTCCTGAGGAGGCACCCCCTGATGTGCCAGCCAGCAGTGTCCTGTTCCTGCCGACCTTCTCAGGACTGAAGGGGAATCAGACATTTAGCAAAAAAGAAATCTCTCCTGCTCAGTCCTCCGTGGTCCCAGAGTTCCTGTCCTGGCCCTCCCCTAAATATCCCTAACCAGAGATAGGTTCTCAGGCAATTCCTGTTTCCTCCATTTCTTCATGTGTAGAACAGAGATGAGAAGCCTGGGCACGCTCTCTCCAGGGGCAAATATAGAGATGAAACAGGGTGGTGGGTGAAAGCACCCACCAGGGAATGTGGGCAAGAGCCAAGGAGCACCCTAGGAGAGGAAGGGCATGGTGTGGCCAGGGATCGGGGAGGAAAAGGGGCTCACACACAGTGCTCATCCCACAGTCGCCTCACGGGACAGGGGCGCACAGCTATTGTGGTGAGAAGCACAGAGTTGGGAGTCACACCTAAGTTCAGAATCTGTCCCTGAAACTAAGGTGCATGACTATGGACAGACAGGTCACCCAGCTTCTTCAAGCCTCTGTTTCTTCATCTATAAATCGGGGATCCACACTGTGCTCACAGGCTCTTTGAAGGATTACATGAGATGATACATAAAAAGTGCCTGGGATATAGTAGGCACTCACTAAACGGCAGCTGTGGCGCCCCAGTGGCCGCCTGCTCTGATTTGGCACTTCCTGCAGGTGGGCGGGGCCGCCGTCCTGGCCGTGGGCGTCTGGACCCTGGTGGAGAAGAGCGGCTACCTCAGTGTCCTGGCCTCCAGCACCTTCGCCGCCTCCGCCTACATCCTCATCTTCGCAGGCGCCCTCGTCATGCTGACTGGCTTCCTGGGCTTCAGTGCCATCATCCGGGAGGACAGGAGCTGCCTCTCCACGGTGAGTGCTGCCAGCCCCACTCTGCCTGGCACTGTGGCTGGACGAAGGGAAACCTGCCCAGGGCCTCAGGAAGCCAGGCCAGAGCCCCTCAATGCCCAGCCGGTGCCCCCAGTCAGGCTCCTGCGCTGAGAACCCCACCACTCACAGTGGTCTCAGCCTGGATCTGAGGCCTAGAGCAGCTGCCCTCGGGGAGGCTGTTTGCCATCGTGTCCGGGTTCTTAGGATCTGAACTAGGAGGGCAGTCTCAGTCCTAGTGGCAGCTGCTCCGCCCTCCTTCTTTCATTCCTCCTCTCCTTCCAGGTTTTATCATGGTGATTTTCAAAGCTATACAAAAATGAAAAGACTGTCATAATGAAGCTTCATGTCCCATCACACAGACTCAACAACTGGCATCTCAGAGCCAGTCCTGTTTCATCTATACCCGGCACCTCCCCCACTTTGATATCCTGGGCATCTCACCAAGTGTAAATACTTCAGGGTGTGCCTCAAAAACTTAAGGGTCCTTTTTTAGAAAACACAATGACAATACCGTCATCATACCTAAGAGCAATTAAGTCATTTCTTAATATCGTGAAGTAACCAAGCAGTTTCAGATATCTCCAGGTGACCCATAAACTATTCTTTTTTTCTTGAGTTTGTTTGAATCAGAATCTAAATGAGGCCCATGTATTAAAATTGGTCAGTTTGTCTCCTAGATCTCTGTTAGTCTCTAAGCTCCCCCATCAATCTCTCTCTTTTTTTTCCTTCCTTGCAATCTGTTGAAGGAACCAGGTCAGTCATCTGTGCTGTAGTTTTTTCCAGTCTGGCTTTCTCATTATATCCCTGTGGTGTTGGTTAACATGTTCTCCTGGTAGCTGGATCTAGAAGCTTAATCAGACTCAGGTTTGATTGCTTGGGCAAGAGTATCTCATGGGTGGTGGTGTGGGCTGCACAGTTTCCTTGACAGACTTCATCCTGGAAAGCTGGCTGTCCTCACCTGGCTCAGAGTGTTGGGAAAGGAGGCCAGGGTGAACTGCGGGGGGCAGAAGCCAGAGTCCAGCTCAGGACTCACCAGAACAAACCCCTAACTCCCTTGCATCTGTTGCTGGGGCAAGTTCCCCACAACCCCCCGCCATTTAATCTCCTCCTAAGGACTGTGGGCCAGTGTGGGCAAGGGAGGCTACAAAACCTAAGGACTTAGCAAGCAAGGGCCAGGGCCAGAACCAAACCAAGTCTCAGCGAGAAATCAGGTTGAGTGGGAAGGAGTCAGGCAGTGGGAAGTAGCCCTGAAGGGCTGTGCCCTCCTGACCCCGCTCCCCTGTGCCCTCCAGTGACTTGGCAGCCTCGGCCCTTGAACATCCAACCAGGGAGCAGGAGGCAGCAAAGGGGCCGAACCCTGCAGCCTCTCACCAGTGGTGACATAGTTTTTGAGCTCTGGATACAAAAGTGCCTGTGTACAGGCTCAGCAGGATGGTTCTCCCCTGCCTACAAAAGTTCCTTAAATTTTGCTCTGAGGGATACAGCCATGTGGATGATGGCATACTGGCAGGGCAAAGTCCCATAGGGCACCAACCGCCAGAGCATGGTTTTTGACGTGAGCTGCGTATCCAGCAATGGGACAGGTGTGCCCGGAGCAGCCTCATCTCCACCAGCCATTCCTCACGTGCCCTAGTACGAGTCTTTGCAAGCCTATTGGAATCCTCGACCTGATCAGTGTCAGCTGGATGAAGACACGGAGTGTGACCCGAGTGACTGAGCATGTGGCGTGGCTGAGGAAATGTTCAAGGCCTTATAAGGACTGAGGGTCACAGCGACCGGTGCTCCTGGGCCCAGAGACAGAACCCTTTCCCTGCGTTATCAGGGACCCCACCTTTGCCCTGCTCAGCCCTGGTCCTTTCGGAAGTGGGGTCTTCGGCTGGGCCTTGGGTTTCAGGCTGAGCCCTCTGGCCCACAGAGGCAGACTACCCAGCTCTGCCTGCCAGCCACCCCTTCCTTCCACCAGGTAACCTTGTTGCAAGGACAGGACTTGCCTCTACAGCCCAAGAAGGAAGGCAGAGGCCCTCACACGGGAACCTTCCTTCTCAGAGCCATCTCTCCTGGTTCTAAAGGAGCCCCTAAGATCAGTGGCTCCCGCAGCGCCGAGAAGCAGCCCACTGCTTTCCACCCAGGGCAAAATTATAACACAAATGGGCACCACTCACTGAGAGCCACTCCCTCCATCCTTATAACAACAGCCCTGCAAAGGCACAATAATCTTGAACTCTCTGTGCCAAGTGCTGTTTTAAACACTCGTGCATGTTAACTCATATGACCCTCACCCAGCCCTATGAGGTGTTCACTCTCGCCATGTGCGTTTTACAGTGAGGTAGCTGGAGCCTAGAGAGGTTGAGCAATTTGCCCAGGGTTACGCTGCTAGTGAGCGGCATGCGGTCTGGCCCCCAGGCCCGTGCTCCGACCCACCACGCCATGCTGCCTCCCAAGGGCATTCACACCATCATACAAATGAGAAAGCTGGCCTGAGAGATGTGGAACATGTAAGTGCTGGAGCTGGACTGTGAATTCCAGTCTGTTAGAATCACCAACATGACTGCAGGCAGAGGGATAGGAGGCCGAATGGGATAGTGTGTGCAGAGGGACATGCTGTTCTCCATGTCTGTGGACATCAGCACGAAGTAGTTGCTCTCCGAGATCCAGATGGGTACAAGAGAGGGCTCCCTGCTGGGCCCAGCCAGAACCCCAGGGCAGGAGACCAGGAGGGTTTCCAAGAATCCAGGTCACCTGGAGAAGCCAACATGACTGCAGGCAGAGGGATAGGAGGCCGAATGGGATAGTGTGTGCAGAGGGACATGCTGTTCTCCATGTCTGTGGACATCAGCACGAAGTAGTTGCTCTCCGAGATCCAGATGGGTACAAGAGAGGGCTCCCTGCTGGGCCCAGCCAGAACCCCAGGGCAGGAGACCAGGAGGGTTGGGGTGCAACCCCAGAAGCTCCTTGCTTTACAATACAGAAATAACAGTGCACTTGGGCAGAGCATGTCCAGTTTAGAAGGGTCATTGGGTCCAATGCTCCATCCAAAGATTTCCAGGCTGAAAGACATTGGGCGAGTAAAAGTGTAGGTCCCCCAGATATTAATGGAGGATACCCAGTATTATTGGCTTTTGGGGGAACAGACACAAATAAGAGCCCTCCCCTTAGTCTCAAAGACCAGAAGGAAAGCCTGAGGTCCTGTAACTGATAGCACTCTGCTCTCTGAGCCACCAATCACAGCCTCCCCTTCCTCAGTTCCTTCTTACATGACCCATTTGCAAGCCATGTCCCACCATCTAGGCTGAGCCATCAAGGGTACAAGTGTCTCCAGCCTCCCCAGTCACAGCCTGACAGGCACTTGGTCTGAGGTCTTCCCAGGGGACCAAGCCCTATGCCCAGGGCTGTGCAAGGACGAGTGGAGACTTCCAGAAGGCCAAGGCCTTAGGCTTGCCTGCACCCTGGCCTTCTCGTCCCCGTGAGCCTTGAGGCAGGGCTGGGGGCACAGGGGCTGCTAGAGGTGAAATGCCTTCCTTCTCAGTACCACTTTACCTTCTGCCTGCATTCACTTCCATCCCACACAGAACTGAAAAATTCTTTGGCCCAACATCACTAACCAAACACATCAGAAAGGCACCAGTTCAAGAGTGAGGTCAGAAAAATGTGCACCACACATTAATGCAGCCATCATTCCAGGAGTGTAGGGACAGGGGACTAACAGACAGCAAACCTTGAGGCCTCGAATCTTCCTTCGCTTTTTTCTGCCCCGCTCTGAAAGAACCAAAGACAGAACTGGCCCAGGGAGAGTATACCAGTGAAGCAGCAGATCCTGAGTAATCCACATCCTGGCCCATCAGCCCCTGAATTATTGAGCACTTCGTTGTTTAAACCAAGAAGGCGGCTGTAAGACCATTCTCGTGCTTACACAAGTAGGACTTTTAAAAACCACGCTCCCATTTAGAGGCAAGTGGTGTGGTTAAGGCAGTTTAAAAGTGTTCTGTGCTTTCTGAAGATTCCCTTCTAGTCTCATTTTTTTTCAATCCATGTCTTAACTTCCTTTTGGAATCTTTAATCAGCAAAAAGCTGGAGGAAACTCCAGAGGAGAAAGGCAGTGAGTCTAGCTCCATAACCTCTATACAAAGCGGTCTCCCAAGAAGCGAGGAAAAGATGAAAGACTAGGCATCTGGATGATGTGCATCCAACTTGGACCAGGGGGAGAGAGAGGCCTGGCATCAAAAGTTCTGGAGAACTAGAAGGCAGTCCAGCTCACACAGGCACGACATCTGTCCTGCCCGGGCCCTTCCTCTTAGCGTATCTGCAGCCCCTCAAAGTCACTTTCCCAAGAAGGACATGTTTGTCAGGGACAGGAATAGCACATCTTGTCTGGTGCTAAAACGATGATCAGCTCGGCTTCGGAAATCTGCAAAGGGGGAAAGAGAATGGGGTTTAAATTATTCACACCGGCTCTTCTTATTTAGCGAAGGCTGCATGAGAGAGCCAGATAATTCAGGCCATCTAAGCTTAAGTAAGGCCAGTGACCAGGACAGATGCCACCCTGATCAAAAGAAAAGGATATATTTAGAGTTTTGAATATGGGTTCTGGAAACTTTCATATCTTAAGCCAGATGAAGATTATGATGGATGGTTCAGGCGAAACTGGGTCTTCATCAAGAGCTCTTTTTTATTTATTGGATGGATTAAAAAGTAAGAAGTTCTAGACCCAATTTCAGAAAATGAGGGGACCCCAAACTGCAGCACTTTCATCGATACACCCAGACTTGGTTAACCAGGGCAATGAGGTCTGGAATCAAGAGCTAGGGCTCAAAAGCAGGTTGCGGTGTAGCTTGCCCACCGTGCTCTGGGGCCTTAGGGAAGTCACTCAGCTGCTCCTGGGCACCTTGGTATCCCTGTCCTTATATGGGGGCGAGGTGTGAGGGTAATGAGGGAGTACTTTAGGTCTTGGGAAAAGAGTCACCACAATTATAGCCAATGGTATG